TGATATTGACATCGAGAAAGAAGTAAAAAATAATGTAATTAAAAACATGATTAATGTCAATGAATACTGCATTAATCACAACCAAACATACTCCATAGAAATACCCGAAGAGGAGTTATAGAATTAGTCTCCCCTGAGCCAGGAAGAATAGAAGCTAGTTCTATTAATACTTAATTAATTGCTTATTATTCTAAATTGGTTCATTTGCCATATAATACAAAAATAACAGATTAGAATTTCTATGATATCTTTAATGAATTTAACTTTTCAGTTAATGTATTTTTTGACTCATTTGAGTAACTTTTTAACAGTTTTCAATAGAAACTATCTTTTTATATTTGAAGAATAAAAATTAATTAAGACAAAAAAAAAATTCAATATAAAGAAGAGAGTTTCATAACCATATTTGATAACCAATTATTTGTATTGTCTTTAAGTGAAATGTCAATAACATTTTTTACTTGAGTTTCAGAAACAGTTCCAGTAATTACATTAATTCTTGTTCTTACTGGTCTAAAAGGGTCTGATAATTCATTATATTGTTCTATACGAGAACCATCAAATTCAAATTCAACAGTGATATAAAGTCCTTTATCTTTATTAATAATTGGAATTTTTAATGTAGGACGGTCATTGTTCTTAACAAAATATGCACCAAGTTCTGAACGTACCTTTCGTGTTACTTTAATAAAATTGACATATTTATTAAAATAGTTCACAAGATAACGATATTTCTCTTCAAGACTATTTGGGTTTTCAAGGACCCAATAAGCAATTTTATTTTCATCGAAACATTTGTTATTATTATTGAATAACATTAAATGACGATACCTTCCATTTAACTCTACTTTACAATTTTTAAGATTTTTATAATATTTGATAAAAGAATTACAATCTTCAGGAACAAGACTTGAATAAATGAGATGAAGTAATGTATTACCAGGTAATTTACAAATAACACAATACCCATAAATAACAATCTCCCCAATAGCTGGAATAGTTATCGTTCTAATATTTTTTGAAGGTGGTTGTGTTATTGTAGAAACTTTATCTTCTTTTGAAGTAAGAAGTTTTTGTTTCAGTATTTCTATCTCTTTTTGCATATTTTGAATTTCAATTTTTCGTTTTGCTATTTTATCTGCTAATTTAGCATAATATGATACTTTCAATTGATGAACACTAGTTGTTAATTGACTGATTGTATTTTGACAGAGTTCTTTATATTTAGCTACATATATTCTTCTAAGAAGTTCATGAAGACACTCTTCTATTCTAAATTGTTCATCTTGTGATAATGTATTGTATTGTTGAAGAATAGGTGGTAGTGGAGTGAAAAGAGTTAACATTGTATCAACTGGAGATGGTTTCATTGAAGATAATAAAAGATAAGTACTTGTAATACAATGTTCTAATGACTTTTTGTAATTTATAAAATCATCATCATTTTCAAGTTCCGTCTGTGGACGGTTTTCATTATTTATATAATTCATTAATGGAAGTAAATATGAAGTAAAGATAGGTAAGTAGTTTAAGTGAATCATTTTTGTCACACTAATGATTGGTTTGGCATTTGAATTTCCTGGAGTTGAAAGGGCAGATAATAACTTGATTTTTCTAGACTTCAATGAATCTTCTGATACTCTGCTAACTTTCGTGATATAATTTGTTGTTGGACGAAGTGGTGTTGGAGATGAGATAGGTCGTGACATTCAATGAACAAAGTTAATTTTTGACTTTATTTTTTTTATATTTTCATAATCTTTTTTTATTATTTTGTTATTATAAAATCAGAAAAACCTATTTTTGAATAAAAAATAAAAAAGTAAATAAAAACTAGATAAAGAGATAAAAGATGAGTGATAATGAGATAAGTGATTTATTAGAAGATTTAGGTAGTGAAGACTTAGAAGAAATAGAAGAAGAAGAAAAGAAGATGGAAGAGGAAAATCAAAATGAAACGAATAGTGAAAGTGATAAAGAAGAAAAAAATGATAATTTACAAACAAATACAAAACCAATAAATGAAGAGAATGAAGAGCCACATGGAATTATTTATCTTAGTGTTATTCACAAAGGATTAAACCCAGGGATTATCAAAGGAATTTTTAGTAATTATGGTAAAGTAAGTCGTATGCATTTTGTTGAAGATAAAAAAGTTTGTTATTTAACTCCTTAAAAAAAAGATAAACCAAATTTAAAAGTTATACTAACAGTTTTATTATAGAAAAAAGGAACATTTAAAGAGGCATGGATTGAATTTGAAACAGAGAAACAAGCTAAACTTGTTGCATTAATGCTTAATGGAAAAGTTATCGGTGGTAAAAATCGACATTCTCCATTTGCAGATAAAATTTGGAATATTAGATTTATTAAAGGATTAACTTGGGGAAGAATTTTTGAAGATAAAGAAAGTAAACAAATTTCTCAAGAACAACAAATAGAATTTGCAATGAGAAAAGTAAAGAAAGAAACTGAAAGTTATTTAGCCAATTCAAAGAAAGTAAGAAATTCAAAATTTGCAATGAGACGTAAAGAAAGGAAAGCAAAGCAATTAAAAGAAAAAGAAGAAACAGCACCAAAAAAGAATGAAGAATGAGAAAAGGAATAAATTGATTGAATATTGAATGGTATAAGTTGTATTTTATTGAAAAGACAAGAAATTTTAATAAATAATTTTAACTTGAATTTCAAGTTGATAATTTTTTTTAATCAAAAAAGAAAACTTAAAAATAAATACTTCTAAGTGTTTAAATGGCAGAGTTTCAAATAGATAATTTAGATAGTTTAATAGAAAGTGAAAATGTAGAAACAATAAGAAATTATTTTAAGAAGAAAAATCCTAAAGAAATTAAAGATATTTTAACGAAACAAGTTTCTATTTTAACTGTGGCATTTCCAATTTCATATGCAATTGTTAAAAAGAGAGTGAGAAGTTTTAATGAGTTACTTGATATTTATATTAAAAATAAACTTGATATTAATCAACAAGTTTGTTTATTGTTTTATTGAAAAATTTATAATTAATATTTCTTTTAGGATGATGGTGGATTAACAATCCTTCATTACGCTGTTCAAAGTAAAGATTCTCGTTTTATTACTACATTATTAAATATTCCAGGAATTAATCCTTATGCTCCAGATAATGATGGACAATCTCCTTTCATTTATTTTCTGAGATTTCATGATGAACCAACTATTGTAGAATGTTTAGAAGCATTTATTAAATGTTCTCGAATAATTTTAAATAGTAGAATTGCTTCAGGAAGGTATAAAGGAGATTTTCCTATTAACATTGCATTCCAAAATCAAAGGAGTTGTGGTATTTTATTAGAGACATTCTTAAAAAATGGAGCAGTTCCAGATGTTACAAATTTTTCAAATGATGTTCCACTCTTGTACGCTGTTCAGAAAAAAAGACTTGATTTGGTGTTATTATTACTTAAGTTTGGAGCAAGAATTTATATTGCAAATAATGCAGGAAATTCTCCTCTTTCAATTGCTATGAAAACCGAAAGTAAAATTACTTCTGTCTTTTCACTTGTTGATAGTATTCATATCAAAATGAGAAATGAATTTTCATTGACACTTCAATATGACCTTCCACGTATGATTGGTATTGGATTGTTTACTGATGTCAGTACTTCTCAGGCAATGAGAAATATGATTAATATTGGAGTTAATCCTGATATTGTTAAACGATTTATGGAAGTTTGTAGGAAAACTGAAAAGGATTTTATGGAAAGTAGGGATGCATTTGATTTATTATATTATAAAGAAGATGAAGGAGAATTAGAAGAAGAAAAGAAAGTTGATGTAAAAAGTATTGAATTTCTTGGAGAGTCAATAGGAAATAAAAATAAATTAGGTATGGGATTATATGGAGAAGTTGTGAGATCACGCTATAAAGGAAAGACTATTGGAATTGAATATATTAGACTTGAGAATGAAGAAATAACTAAATTATTTGAAGAACATATTGAGAAGAAATTAAGTAAAATTAATCATGAAAATGTCCTTCAAATTATGAAAACTTTAGTAACAGATAATTCAATTTGGATTATGACAGAATATACTGATAAAGGATGTTTATTTGATTTACTTCAAGGACCAAAATTAAATTGGGAAATTATTTGTGGTATTGCAATTGATATAGCTGAGGGGTTAGTTTGTTTGAAAGAAAATGGTATTGTTCATGGACAATTAAATTCTACAAGAATTTTTGTTACATTAGATGGAAGAGCTAAAATCAGTGAATATGGATTTAAACAAATCTGTGAAAGACATAAAGAAAATCATTTAATTGATATAGAAATTGCATATATGGCACCTGAACATTTAAGTAATACTCCTGTATTTGATAATGAAGGAGATAAATATAGTTATGGTATGATTTGTTGGGAAATGATTACTCGTTTAATTACTGGAGAGCATGTTATTCCATATTACAGTGATGAAGAAAATTATACTAATGAAACTGATGCAATTGTTAAGAAGAAAATTCTTAGTGGAAGTATTCCTAATATTGCTACAAGAGAAAATGCACAAGTCTTTACTGCACCACCAAAGTTAGGTAAATTATATAGGAATATTTGTCAAACAAAAGTTGAATTAAGAAATGGGTGGGATCAAATTATTGAAGAATGGAGAAATTTTGATGAAGAAAATACAAATGATCCAAAAAGATGGAAAAATTGTTTACAAACAGATGGAGAAATTTGTCCTGGAGAATATGCTAATAAAAAGTTCAAGTTAGTTAAAGCAGCAGAAGAAGTTATGAAATAATTATTCGATTTTTATTTATGTTTTAGTTATGTGTTTAGTAATTTATTCAATGAGAAATAATTAAGTTTGAATAAAAAAACATCATTATTTTATTTCTTGTTATTCAGTAAGAATCTTAAACAGAATTTTATTCTGAAAGAAAAAAATTAACTCTAATTCAGATAATACAATCTTTATTAATATATTTATGATTATTGTTAATGGTTAAACTCTTTTATATTAACATAAAATGAAAATAACTAAAAAAATAATGTTTACATATTCATTTATTCTTTCAAACGATAAAAAGAAATCAATTTGTTTTACTTAGACTTTATTATGGGAAATAATTTAACAAAGAAAATTTTATCTTTTTATATTATTAAATATTTTAAATAATTTGTTAGTGATAATAATATAAAATTGATGTATTATTATTATCACTCTCTAAAATATTTTATTATTTTTCAATATTTAAGGACGTTAATTGTCTGAGCATTGGTATGGTACAATATTAATTGTAATGACTTTTTTCTGTTTATTTTTTCTATTGTTTGAGTGAAATTTGAGATATTATTATTTATAATAAAATTATAATAAAATTATAGTTTTTTTGAGATAAGAAAAATAACAAAAACTATAAAACCATAAAAATGACTGAAGGAAACAATAACAAGAATTCTTTGGAAAGTGACGATTCAAGTGATTTTGGATTGGACATAGAGTCACTCACTCAAAAACGACAAATTAATTTAGTTAAAACTCCAGAATTACTTTCAGAAGATGATACTCAAACCCTTAACGTACCACAAAAAAAATTTCTTTCTCATTCTAGTGTAACACCACGAATATCAAATGAATATGAATCAAAAGATGCATTTGAAACTCAAATTAAACCAACTAAATCAACAATTTCTTTAGTTCATAATTTAGATATATCTGATGAGGAAATTGAAAAAATAAGAGGTCATACACCTCGAATGGTTCTTGCACAAACTGATACTGTTAAATTAGATGATGTTATTTCAGATGAAAAATTACTTCCTGATACTGAAGAATATAATAATGTATCATTAACATATACTTCAATGAAAAATAGAATTGTTGAGAGAAGAATGGGAATAGTTTTTTCAAATACATCTCGTGGATTTTCTTACATTACATTTATTTTTCTTTTCTTGTGTTTTATTGCTTATACTTTAATAGCAACATTAGTATTACATCGTACAGAAAATTGTGCTTTAGAGTATATTGTTTTCTTCTTCATTTTTGTAATTTGTGCTTTTTCAAATCAATATGTTTCTCCTTTATTCCATGCATTAATAGTAGAATTCAATCTAGTATGTTATCCTTTCTTTCTTATTCCAGATGAAGTTTACTGGTACTCTATTTATATTTGTTCAGCCTTATGTCTTTTTCTATTGACTGTATTAGTCTTTGCATCATATAAAAGAGTAAAAAGAATAATTACTAGACTATTAGGATTTAGGGAAATATCTTCAATTTCTCGGTCGCTCACATGCAGTGGTCAGGTTCAATACGTTATTCAAGATGGATCATCTCAAATGACACTTGAAGGGAAATTTGACAATGGTAAAGCAGAAGGATTTTGTACATGGTTAGACACTGCTGAGCAAGGAGAATTATTAATTGGGACATGGATAGATGGTGTTCCTGTTGGACCATTTGAGTCAACAGAGAATAACTCAAGAACTATGATGAAAAATGTAAGAATTTTATTTGCAACTGATGCAGATGGAACTATGTGGGGAAAAAGAAAACATCCATTCGTTGGTGTTGCAGGTGTTGAATGTATTATTTCAGGAAATTATTATAGTGTATATCCTAAAGTCAATATGGTTTTACCACCAAAGGAGTGTCGATGTGGACAGATATGTCATTGTTTTAAAGAATTTATTGAAAATGGATTATATGTTACTGATAAACCAGAAGATAAAACTAATATTGTTGTTACGGTTGATCATAACAATAAAGGGTTTTTTATAGGAGGATATCGTCCTATTGGAGAAGGGAAAAGTGTTGAAATAAAAATAACAAGAAAGAAAGATAAAAGTTATTTGACTTTGGATGATAGTTGGATGCCATTGAATGTCAAAAACGAAAGTGAGGGTTTAATTTATATTCATTCTGGAGGAATGTCATTAACAGATTCATTAAAGAAAATGGGACAGTTACTAGCGTTGGGTAATTTCCCTGGACATGTTGTACCAATTTGTTTTAATTGGCCAGTTGGTAAACATTCATTACATGGGAATAAAAAAGCCAAAATGATGGCAAATAATATATTCTTACAGAATGATTTTGTTTGGTTATTACAGTCATTGTATCAAGCTAAATTTAAACGAGTTCATATTCTGTGTCATGGTGTTGGAGGTTATTTCTTCTTACAAGCATTTGAGACTATTCAATGTCTATTTTCTATTTATAATTCTCCAAATGATATTACTATGAATTTAGTTAACTTAGTATTAATGAATTGTGATTGTTCATTAGAAGAATTTAAGAATAAATATCAAGATATTAAAAACATTGTCCAAAGAACTACTATTTATTCAGACAGAAGAGATAAGGTATTAAAAATTTCAGAAAAGTTATATCATGAAATTGCTGTTGGACATTGGACTGACCCATTGTATGATGACAATGGAGATGTATTAGAACGAGTGGAAGTTATTGACACGGGTGATCTGGAAAGAAATGATGATGGTTCAAATCATGGATTCTTCAATGTAAATAAATTAATGGTTGACGATTTGTTTGAGTTAATTGGACAAAATAAAGGAGCTTCATACAGATCGTCCCATCTATTAAGAG